GATCAGATGCAGGGAAAAAAAGAAGCGTAGCTTTTAACAAAATTGACTGAGCTATTATTTGTTCAACATACCCAATCCAAATTTTAAAAACAAAATTTTACACTACTGAGCAAAAATGAATCACGGATGAACAGTTTGAACCAGAACTGATCTTTGCTCTAATCTTCTTGAATCGACTATCAAAGCCCCGCCATTGGCCGGAGATATGTCTGCATTAGAGAGCCAGTGAAAGAAAGTGGAAAATATCAAACTGTGCTCTTCTAAAGTAGTTCAACCCTGACACCAAAGACCAGGCTCTGCTGTAGACGTCCTACTGCTCTGATCTTTGACGTCTTAGTGTACATTTTCAACAATTTTGCAGAACCAAGTTTGGTTCAGTTTTTTTTTTACCATCAAATCTGATTAGCATCTCTGTTGTTGCTCTGGGATGGTGGATTCTGGGGTGGAGATGGTGTGTGTGTGTGTTTTTTTTTTTTTTTTTTTCATAAAAAGCTTGTTGGATGTTGGCTATAAAAGTTTGAATTTGGTTAAAACACTTTTTTTTATTTTTTATTTTTTTACATCTTTGCCATTTCTCTTTTATGGCTTGAAGTAAACCACACAGAAATGTTCCTGGCCCTCAAGAATGCCTCGTTTTGCCACATTATCAAATAGGCCAGTACTGATAGTTGTCTTGTCAGCAGATTCTCCCAGTCGTGCTGTGAATCTATTTCTGCAGCTCCTGCAGTTACCATGAACCTCTTGGCTTATTTTTTGATTAAAAAACAACAATTTGCTGTGTTTCTTGACCTCTACGAAGCTTTTAATTAATGTTCTCTAATAAAAGTTCTGAGGTCTTCACAGATTAGCTGGAGTCCATGTAGGAGTATATGGCTTGCTTTGCCTGGGATTTTATTTAGGGGTATTAAAGTACCTGCACCTAGAATGAGCAGAGTTTTTAGATTTTTATTTGCGAAAAACAGTTAAAAGCCATGTATCATTGCACGGTTAAGGCACTGTTTTGTTTATTACATATACTCCCAAATAAACATATGAACCCTAGTTATTGCAATACAACAAAAGCGTAGCACACTTCCGCAAAGGAGTACCTAAATAGCAAGAATTTAAAAAAAAAATAATGCAAAAATAAATTCCACAGTGCCCGCTGCGCCATCTGACCTAGCCAACCGCGACAATATGTCATCCCAGCGCCTTGTCTGTTGAAGGTTTTTTTGTTGTAGACCCCTTGGTGTGAAACAAATTATGGAGGGGGGAAAAAAACAGAAGAAAGTGTAGATTTGACCTTTAGGGGACCTAGTGTCAGTTTAATTTAGGCTTCTTCTGTATAGCACTTAATACGATGCAAACTGATAAACAATCGGGGCTTTACCATCAGAAGATTACTTTATTGCACGTTATATGTTTTTCAAACTAGATTTTTACTTGTAATTCTAAGTACACAGCATCACCCACTCCCTCTAATATTAGGAATATTGTGATTTTAGTTCCTTTTAATATTTGCCAAGACAAGCATTCCCACTCCTGTGTGTGTGTGCATCTGTTTATGTGGATAAATGGTGATTGGCGTGCGGCTGAAAGTGGGTGGTGTGGAGTGATTAATCAGAGTAATGAGTGTAGATGAGCACTGTGCAGATGGAGCCCACACTCAGGACTGTGTCACCCAGCAGGGGGTCTCTTTGCTCCCCTTCTGAGGATCTCTATAGTTTTAACTTGGCTGTAGCTGCATTTCATTGGCATGTGCTGCTTCCTTCCCTGCCTAATTCGCGAGCTCATTTCAGCGTTATTCACATTCATAATCAGCTAATTCTTCTCTGAGAACCTATGTATACAATTAGTGATATTTCTATGTAAATATAAATTACTCCTGTTAGCTTTCCTGCTTTCTCCTGCCAAAAATTATATTGCAGTGGTGTATGTGCTTCAACCTTCAGGTGAAGCACATGAATGCATTCAAAAATATCACATAATTCATTCTGTGCCTTTGAATTTCACTATGAAGTTATGAATGCAATTTATTTTTGACTTGATTTAAAGTAATTTACAGTGTTCCTACAGACTCAAACACATAGACGGATGGATGGTATCGTCCAGCCATCACATTGTGTCTCAGGACCAGTATCAGTTTTGTATATCAACTCCATAATAAAGACAAAATATCTTTTGAAAAAAAACGCATGAAGCTGACTAGAACATGTCGTTATCCACACTGATACAAGCCCTAAAATGTCTCTTGATGTGGAAGAACCGATTACTTCAAATTAGGGTTTAAAAAAAATAGAGGATTCAAAGGATCACACTGGACAAAGATCATCAGTAAAAGAATCAAGTCCATCTATTTCTCCTTTGGTATTGAAAGACATAAACTGAAGGAGTTGGGTTCAATTAAAATAAGTCCATAATTTTGATGGTTAGGTTATTACAAATTTAACGATTGAAAAAAATCAGGTTTACCTCTAATGAAACATCTTGTGTCTTCATAAACATGCCACCAATTTATTTAGAATGTATTGTGTGAAAAATAGAAACTATCAAACATAAAGATTTGGCACAAGTGCAGCTGAACAACAGAATAATAAAGACGATGAAGGCGGACACTGATGTTTGAAAATACAATACTAACTCTTATGAGAGAACAATGAAGGATTTTTAGGAGTTAACAGAGCCCATATGGCTGTGGATTAGAAAATAAACTAAACAAAATTATTGAGATGATATAGTTGCCATACATACAAAAAGGCAGATATTTTCCTCATGCCTGGTCCTTCTGAACTGATTAGCAAACTCGTGCAGGCCTCCCACATCCCTCTGGACTTTGTGACATTAAGTTTTTTCCACATTCTTTTGCTGACTCAATCACTTGCTCTCATAAGTCCCATCGAGCCTTCCGCTTTGTTAGAGGCTTCGCTGCCCTGATTCACATTTATTAAAGAGGGAAATGGGGGATGTGAAGGCAACAATGGAAAGTCTCCCAAAGTGCATGACTAGTGGTTTGAATGTGGAAACAGTTTTACGTGTGACAATAGTTAGACACCAGAAAAATCAGTGTTGGGTAAATGAGGGGTCATGAATCGTTTCGACCCATAGCAAAACTGCATCGATACTGTGTCGAAACTGTGTCACTGAATACTGACACCTGCTGGACATTGAAGATCCCTACAGGCAACGTAATTGACAGACTGATTTGATTACTTAGTCTATACAATAAGATTTGTTATTTTATTGTATATTGTATAATGTCATATCTTTAGTTAAATTCAAAATATATTTGATATTAGATACAATCAATAAATAATGTGAATATGTACCAAGTGATGAAAATTTTAGTGTTTGAAATGAGGATGCTGGTGGACTGGGATGATTCAAACAAATATTGTTTAATAGCTGCTATTCTCCTACTTCAATCTGTATCTTATCTTGTGTGTTTCTTTGTAAATTTAAACTATTATTTTTCTTAAAACATTAAATATTTAATTTTTCTCAACTGTATTTCTTTAAATTATAATTTCAGCTGAACACGAAGGTTTGCTATTTAAAATGGTTTACATTCACTTAAAATTAAAAATAACACTCACTATGATATAATTTGGAAACATAACAGGTTTGCATGTATGATAGAAAGACTCCAGAGTGAGTGGTGTTGAATGCTATCAGTAGTCTGATCAGGTCAGTTTAATGGCAGCTGTTTGACGGTGTGAACGTGATGGAGTGGGCTATTTATCTGGTGCTATGTCCAACAAGAGGCCGGCTGGGGATTCACTGGTGACAGCTCTCCTGCTAGGAGATGCAGACCACAGAAAAAAAGGTTAAATATGGAAAAAGTTCAACACCTTAACTTCCTTTCTCTCTCAAAAAGAGAGGATGTGCCATGTTATCATCGCATGAGACAGTATATAAATGCCATTTTTGGGATGTTGGCAAAGTTACAGTGAAATAAAATGTAAAATGTATAGAGGGAACCTTGTCAGAACTGCATAAAGTTTACTAAATGATTGTAATTGTTGTGGTTGAAATGACATGGCTAAAATGTATTTGTCATGAAACTTTGGGGTCTTCTGGATTAAATAAATATGGGAAACTTTCCATTTACTATGCATGACCTAAATGAATGAACTGATGGGTGGGTGAATGAAGTAAGTAGTTTGAAAATACAGGTATTTTTCCATAGTCTATTTTCTTTACTGCATTCTTAACCACAGGTAGAAAATAATAGGTGGGAATAGAAAGATGAAGAGTTGTAAAAGTACATGAGGGAACAGTCATAGAAAACATTTAGGATTTAAACAATTCTCACTAACACTTCAAGTTGAAATCTGAAACTTGATCTGAACTCATATTCGTAAAAAAACAATGATAATAAAAACTGTAATACACAAAACACAATGCATCACTGCCAGGATTTTAATAAAATCAAATCTCCTATTTGCAACTCGCCCCTGAAGTGTACACCCCCAACTGATGAAATACAGCACAAACAAATACAGCATGACTGTTTCAGTCACAAGGACAGAAACACTGAGGCTTATTGCTACCCAGTGATGCATCTTCACTGCAGACGACCCCACCCCATTTTCAATTAAGGTCCTCTGAGGCCAGAAAATATTCTTAAATAAAATGAGAACAAAAAACAAGTAGCCTTTAGGAAGCTCATCAATCACAGTTTAAAGACAAAAGCAAAAAAGGAGGGTGTAGCTGAGGAGACTTTGCCAAGTCTCGTCCTTCATCATCCATTATGAGAGGATGAATGGAGGAGGGAGGGGGTCTCTGCAGTCCACCAGAGAATGAAAAGACTGACTGAAGCCAGAAAACAACCCAAAGCAGGTTAAAAATAGGGTCGCAAGCAGCTCACCAGACACTGAAATTCAGAAATTATCTTCTCATATAAGCACATTTTTCATTTGCACACACAGACATTTAAAAAAAAAAAGAATATGTCTGTGAGAGACAGAGAGTGAGAGATTGTGTGAAAAAAGCTAACACACCACAGTGAGCATCCGTCTTACCTGGATGAGTGATTCACTCAGTCTTTCCTCGTCTACCTCCAGCACAATGTCCCGGATCTCTTCATAAGGCAGGCGGAACGAGCCCAAGAAAATTGCTGTTTTGATGTAGAGAGAAGAGAGTCATTTCCTCACTTTTTTTATTAGACTGCAGAGTTCACACTGACATTTTGGCACTCATCACTCCTCAGACAAAACGATCACAGACCATCCTTCCCATTTGGAAAAGCTGTGCTAGCCTGACAAGAACCGCAAAGGAAAACATCAATATTCACCTGTGAGGAGTCAATTTTTGTTTTTTTTTGTTTTTTTTACATGGGCAATCTAAAACAGAAACCCAATAAAAAATAAGAGCGACAGTTGCAGCTGAGCTGGCCGCTCCTGAAAGCAACATGTTTTTGTTTGGGTGGATGCGAAAGGGGCGCGATGTATTTGCCTCAAGGGGAAGCCTGGTGGGTGTTTCACACTCCAGGTGGGGAAGGTACACTGGAAATTGGAGCTGATGGTGTATCCAGGTGGAAGTCACAGGTGGAGCTTTAGTAATGAGTTGGAAGAGAGTCACTCAACAGCTGCCATACAACTGTAGCAGTGGGACCTGATGTCTGTTTCTGACAAGAAACTAGAAAATAAACATTTTTCCTTCTGTTTTATTCCTCATAGTCATTTTTTTAACTTGCTACTTTCTGTATTTATGAGCTTTTTTTAAAACAAAAAAAAACATGCATGATGTTAACGTTGTGACTCCGTGAAGCCATGTTTTGGCTGGTTAGATGCCATGACCGTATTTGTGGGCTGTCACGTTGCACTTGTTGGATTATTTCCTGGATTCTCACGCCAATTGTTGCCAAGATGGGAAAAGTTTGTGGTACAATCGTGTTTCCAACACATTTTTGATGCCAAGAAAAACTTACAGTATTTCTAAACCTTTTTAACCATTTTTAAAAGTATAAAAGATAGAGGATCACTATGAATTTATGGAAGAAATTGCAAGGGTTAGACTTTAAAGATGGAAACTGCAAACTTGAAAAACCAGAGAGGATAAGAAATGACAACTTAACCGAACAGTCTATTCATCCATCTGACCGTCTTTTCTGGTTTTCTTGCTGTCGGTTTATTGTGCAACTCTTGACCTTGACTCTTGAAAGTTTGAAATATGAAAAATGTGGAGAAAACCCTGATTGTGAGATGATGCACAATAAAAGATAGCATGTTTATATCTGGCTCTTTGCGTTCATGCTACTGTGAGCATTTGCAAATGTTGTCACTGCACTTGTGTACGTTTTTGACAGGGCTGGTAGGTGTCAGTGCCAGGTCTGATTACCAAGCCGACAGAGGGGCTTCGAGTTTTGGCAGGAAGGAAAAATAAGCGTTAAAGTTCCCACCTTCACAAAGGAAATGGGCGGGAATCTTGTTGTCGTACACAACCACGCCGCTCTCCCGAGTCGCCTTGACAAACACTACCGCAACATAAATCATTTTCATTGCCTACCGCTGAACCTGGCAAGCTCTCTTCTCAATTCTGATGTGAAGGTTCAGTGACTGGGATGGGTGGTGGGATAGTGTGAGTGATTGTCATGTCAGTGCCACTTTATGTATCATGGTAAAATGATTATGCATACTGCTATCGGGTAAATTGTGTCCATCTGTCTCCAAAAACCTTCCCTCAGCGCTGTCAGCATGCTACAGTGTGTGGCTTACTGGTGACAAGGCCCCAAATAGGAAAAAATACACACACTGTTAAACGTGGAGCAGTTTACTAAATCATGCCTATATAACAATGTTTTTGCCATCTTTTAAACTAAAGAGATCTATAGGTCAAACTGTTTGTTCACATTTAAATATTTCAGGTCACAACATACATTTTAATATCAACTAATACAAAACAAACTGATTTTCATTTAGTATTTGCTACAACTGACAGGTAATCTTGTGCATCCGACTCTCCTTAAAGATATTTCTTTTTATTTGTTGGTGTGGACATTAATGTTGCATTCCTGTAAATCACAAGTTATGTCAATTTAGTTTTTTCTTTAGCAGAAAGAAAATACCACCAGGAAAATATGCAATTATTACATTTTGAAAAGATGCAGCTTGGTAATTTTTAGAGCATAATAATTGTTGATAATTTTGCCTACATTTTGTGAGGATTGAAACAAATCATCCGTTTCTACCTTCATCCTATTCTTTGGAGTATTTTTGAGAATCGGATTTAATCTCAAACCCTAAATAAGCCGCATCAACACTTACATTTTGCTTTTCATTTGAGTTACTCATCTTCTACATAAATGAGCGTAACTACATAAATGCTGGTTATAGTTTTCATGAGAGGAAAGGGAATACATTTCTTTATGTTGTTGTCCTCCCCATTTGCAGATGTTTTTTGTAGGGCATATCTAATGGTCAAAAGACAATGCTGCTTGGAAATCTGAAAGACCAAGGCACTGTGCTACTTTACACGTTATTGGCTAGCATCTGCAAGTTAGCTAATCCATGAGGGCCATTTCTTTCCTTGGCAATGATTGGCTGTACCCTTATTAGTTGAAACAAGAAAAACTTTGAATGTTAGCTTGTGATGTAGTCCTCAGACAAACTGTCAACTGTGTGTATTAATGCATACTAGGAGTATTTGGTGATTAAACTCTTAGCAGTTATAAGCATTTTAATAAAGGGTTTGAAGAATTTACAGAATTTGGCTATTCTTCAAAATAAATAATGACATGCAAAGTGAATTTTGGTTTATGAGGCTCATTAAAAAGTGTATGTAAAAAAGTGTATCATTTTACATTATAAGATTTGACACATGGAGTTTTTGTGCCTACTTAATTTGTTTTTTTTAAATACATTTTTCTACCTTGCTTAATAAATTACACGGTGGGCTGTGTGGTCAGATTAAAATTGTTTTATAACATTGTAAAGACCAGATCTTTTACACTTCAAAAGGCAGAATTGGGAGGGTTTTTTTATTATCTTTTTTAAATATATCTTTATATTAGCATCCAGCATTAACTGGAAGCTTGCAGAAGTCTGCTTGGGCTTCAAACACCCACATGGAGCTCAAGCAGTCATATCTGTTCAGAATTGCTTTGCATAATCTGACACACAAGGCTTGGAAAAAAGCTATATGCACTTAGTTTGACTGCTATATTATTGCCAAAAACATCTTCAGGTTCCCACAAAGGGCTCAATAATTCACTATTCTAACATAGAGGGCGTTATTATAATAGTTTTTTTTTTTTATTATTATCCCACCAGCAATTCAGTTTTTCTGCTCGTGGGAATATAAACAGCTGCATTCAGAAAAAAAAAAAAAAAAAGCACTGAACTTTCTGAGATGAAAGATGATTGTAAAGAACACTGCATGAACCAAACAGAAATATAAGACTACTTACAGAGGTTCTGCGCAGTCTTGGCATCCAAGATACGAAGTTCCTTTGCCTTCTTCTTGAACTGTGGTACTCGGTCATCAGTCTCATCACTCACATCTTTTTTCACTGCAGTAGGAAAAAAATAAAAATAACTGTTTAAAACAACTGGCCAGCTCCATTATATACAGTGAATTGTAGCAAAGGTAATGTCTTGATGCAGTCTACTAATAGGCAACTTTTATACTAACTGACAATTATTAGTTGAACTGGACTGAATAGAATAAAAATATAGATGCTGCATTTAAGATCAGACAGACAAGCTAAGACAAATTTCTTTTGATAATTATCCTGTAGGATTAATGAAAACATGAGGTGCACTTTCTCAGAAAGTGATTTATATGCAAGATCAATTAAAAAGACAACATTTGTATTACAGAAATGTTTTTGAATTGACAGGTGTCCAGCAGACCGACACAGCTGAAGATGCTTTTCACAGGGAGATGTATCTCAGCATCCTGACTGAACGTTTGGCCGACAGAAAAAGTGAGATAGAAAAGAAGTGCTGGGAAAACCTACTCGCTGAGAGAAATGTAAAGAAAATTTCTCTCAAGGGTTTGGAAGAGATTTACAAAATGTGGAATGTGGCTACAGTCAGATGCATTTGGGAGATGAGGTACAAATATTTTGTAAAATAAGTTTTCCTAATCATCGCAACAGGATCACTTCCGGAGTGTAGAGTGTGTTTGTAAGCATTACATTTAGTCCTTCAACTTCCAAAGTTTAATGAAAATAACCGTTTACCCCCACAAATCCAAGAAAACCGACATAGTTCACCAAGAATACAAAACTGGTCCAAAAATAAACAGACTTACTGCACAGCCTGTCAGCACAAACTCTTCTGTATTTACCCTGAAATAAGTTCATCTAAAAGCCTTCTTGTCCATGTAAACAGCAGGACAACATTTTAAAGCAGAATTACAGAACTGAGGAAAGTTTAATTTCCCACAATAAAGAAGGAGCGATATGAGAAAGAAGACTCCTTAGATCCTTCGTTCTCCCCTGACGGTTTCTGTGAGGAAGCACACTTTGTTGCTAATCATCACAACTGCTCTGTTTAAGCCCAAGGTGGGAATCTCAGAGGAAATCTAGAACAAACAATCTGCTCCCTTAGTGCTGGCTTGCATATTTGAAGAAAGAATCAAAGAGGCAACATCTCCTGGGCACCTAGAAGAAGGAACGCTTAAGGCAGCTACCTAACTCTGCTGAGCACTGCCAACATATCACATCAGGGATGTAGTTGTTTACAGTGTTAAGCAATGCTAAATTGCAAGTAGGTTTAAAATGATGAAACAGATAGAATTGCAGATTATTATTATTTTTTTTGTCAGAATGCTAAGATGCTCCGTCAGGAGCCCTCAAAACGTCAGGACCCCAACTTTAATCCAGATCTGACTGAAATGCAAGCAGCATGCGTTCCCTCTCTGACAAAAGCTACATGGGGAGAGGAGAAACATGAGAATCGAAATGTGTTTCAAGTCGATGTGGAAATCCAGGTTAATTATTAAATGTAGGAACAGTGCAACCCACGTTTTGCATAATTCATCATGAGATGCGTGTCAAACCGTTTCTGCTGTTGTTGTCAAAGTTTACCTCAAAGGATCTATCCTTTGACCAAAATTAATGTAAAGTATAAAATTTAAATATAAAAAGTTAAGTTAAACAAAAGTCCGGTAGTAAAACATTCTGATTTAGGTAGATTGAAGCAACAACACTGTGACTGAGAAAGCACATTAATCCATTGTAGAGACACTCCCTGCCAGTGGTCTCAGCATTCCCTCCTACACAGCCAAACTGCTCAGGAACAGCTTAAGGGAAATGGCAAAGGGCCAAGTGATTATCTGGCCTCTAGACATATCAGATTTCAATCCAAATCAACACCCACAGACTGCGTCAAAACAAGTTCTACCAACGAAAGCTGCATTCTGCGACCTGCAGGACCCAAAGGAGCTGCTGCCCAGGCCTGCTGCCAGATACCAACAGAGGTCCACTAAATCAACGGGGTTCCCCTTTCCTGTTATGTCATTTTAACGGCGCATTTCAACGCAGAAAACAATCTGCTTGTGTAAAGGCACCTCAGTCTAAGAGGAGACCATTGAAAAATTCAGTTATTTCACCATTTCAACTCCTTAAACCAAAGTACAACAAAAAAAAAACAAAGATTCCTCAAAACTATATATTATTTTAACAATGACAATTTACATAGTCACAAAATGTAATAGATAAAATCAGTTCAATGTTGTATTCAACAGAATGTTGTATTCATGCCTACTCATAGAAAGTTGAGTGGAAGGAAAAATAGTGCACAAGAAACAGGATTTGTATTAAGAGGATCTGTAGATACGAACATGTGAAAGTGCTCCTATCCAGCGGTCTTATTTACATTTAAGCAGACGGGTAATATCAAGCTGCTACATTTGAGGGTTTTTTTTCATTGCACCAACAGAAAACCAAAGACTGAGGTCACTTTACAGGTAGAATAACCTATAAAGTTTCCTCAGTTGCTTAGTTTGAGGTCAGCTCAGCTGACCTCAAACTCAGCTGACCTCAAACCATGTGATTTTGTAAAGGGTAAATACTGTTGTGCACTTTATTTCTGTGCAAAGGATCAAAGCAGGTATGTAGCCTAACCAGTTGTGCAAGTTCTTTGTTTTTACGATGTGAAAATCGAAACACTAAAGATACAGATGTTTTTGGTTTGGTTAACAGCTTGGACAGCAATGCACTAAGCTTTTCATTCATGATTGGCAGCTTTCATGTGTGGTTAAACAAATATGTATTGTTCAATGTTTTTCAATCAAATTAGTTTGTGACACTTATAATACCTGACAGTGTTAGGCATTTAAAAAATAAAATATCAGCAGATTAGGCTTTTTAAAGATTGAAACTGCCATTGGTGCACTTCCCTCAGAAGCAAGTAAAATATTACAACTTTAAATTTCTCAAATTTACTAAAAGCACAAAAAATCACCTTGATTTGGAAAAAATAAAACTTCTTTTGTGATTACCTTAATAATAAATCTAAACTCGAGCTAAAACGGGAAAATTCAGTTCCTTTTAATAAATTATTATCTACATTCTCTATTATCAATTTACTGTACAGTGACTTTAATCTCTCATCATGATACTTTACATTCTCACCAGGGTGCTCTCAGTTTTCTGGTGTTCGCCCTTGCCTGTAGGCCCCCATGCTGCACATAGTTAAGGAAAGTGCCTTTTAAACCCATAATGAACTGTTATTTATGATGCTAACCTACACATCTCAGAGCTCTCCTGCTGGGAGTTGAACAATTGGCATCAGAAGGCTGGCCGCAATGAAAGTTTTTTGCCGGTTGACTCAATTATGCCACGAGTCACATGTGTTTCCTCTGAGTGCTGCATGTGGACTGATGGGCCCTGGAGGGCTTGCACACATTTCAAGCTGCCACACTAGTCAGAGTCCCAGGTGTGTGGAGAGGATGAATATAGGTGGCATATACCCAGATGGCTGGCCACAACAAAAAAGCTTTTAAAGTTTTAGAAATGAAAACAAAACACAGAAGTTTGCAGACAGTTACTACAAATCCTCTACTCAGGAGAAAGTTTTTCTTTTTACGAGAAATAAAACTTTGGAAATGCTTTCTTTAAGGCTTCTTCAGTCCTAAAAGGCTTAACCCATATGACATTGTGGGTTCGTAACAGCTGATTGAAGTCCTTGCCAGTATTAAGACGTGTTCTTCTAGTTGTCCAAAGGCTGAAATGTAATACTGTGAAAACAATGCTGTCCCTCAGATTTATTAAGAGAATCTCTCCATCAGTCTCACAGTGGAGAGACACTTGAGTCTGGGAAAATCTGGAAACCTTCTGCTCAACAAAGCCTTTTAATATGGATTTATTATTTATCAGATACAAACAAAATGATTGGAAATGCTAATTGAATAGAAAAGGAAAGCTGATGCATCCAGTTCACAACGCAAACAATACTGGGCTTACATGAAACACTGAAGCAATATTTGAAAAGCGAACACACATTTTTTGTTTTCATAAATGGATATAAGGTATCCATTTATGTTTTCATAAATGGATACCCATGCCAATGGATACCTATTGGCATGGGTATTTACTGTATTGTTTATTTCTTGAACTTTATTTTGTCTTACACTTGTGTAAAGTGTTTAACCAGATCGTCTATTTCCAAAAACATAAAGTTGAAACATTTTTTGGAAAGAGAAATGCATTAATAAAACAGCAACTCGTAGTTTTAGAGCCAGGATCATGCGTTTTAAGAAACAGAACAAAAACAGTTCTCCATAGAAATAACTAATTACTTAAAAATACATGAGGAAAAGCCTCTGGTGAGCATAAAGGTTACACATTTTATTATCTGGGGGGTGAGGGGCCTTAAAGATTGGTCTGTGCCAAGGGGAGCCACCAAATTGTTAAATTGTAATGAAAACACACATGGATGCTTGACGGGAAAAAAAAAACAATTTTGGCTTATTAAAGACGATTTGGTATTCATCTCTGTGGGCCTTGGATTGAGGTACACCCATGGGAAACTCTATGATAACAAGAGTTCTCCAACACTTGGACATCCAGTCTTTTTGCTGGCCCAGATTCCTTATCCTGGTCGCCTTCCATGAGATATCTCCCTCAAGACGTCCATAAAACCCAGGGCATTAGAAAGCTAAACACTACCACATGTTCACTTCCGGACACAGACTCCTCAGCTGAGCCCCGCCACCAGGCACCACAAAATGAACAGGCCTTGAAAAGAAATAACAGAAAACTGCAGATGACAGGTCTTCAACTAACATATTTAAAGGCAAAGGAACACAGAGTGGAACAGACAATGTGGAGTCTGGTCTTCTTTGGAGCAATTTATTCCTTCAAATGTGCAATCTGCCTGCAAACATGGGCTCCGTCCTCCATGTCAGGGACTCATGCTGAGGATTTAGCTACTGGAAATCTGCCAGGCTGTCTGAAGGAGATGGATGCTGAAGAAAAGTCACTGCCCTCTGCCAAGAAAATACCAGTTCCTCAGAGCTTGACTTCATTAATATACATGTTCTTATGTATATATGCTGAAA